TTTTAGCAATTTATCTTCTTTTAACAATTCCCATGGTATATTCATTTCTTATTTCATTTTTTCAACATTTAATTCATATTAATTATAATTAGTAATATACTTCTAATAATATTTCTCATAAGATTTCTTTATAGAGTTTTATATCTATTGCATTTCTTGATTCATAACATAAACTGTTTTGTTCACATTTAATAAATTATTTTACATACTCTTTTGCTGTTCTTTTACAATATTATTCCATTATTTACGAGCAAATTTAACACTTTTATAATTTTATGAAGGATAATCATCAAAAAATTAATCACAAGCTAAACTCCTAGAACTTATTTTCTCTGACCGCAAATCAAAAAATTTTATTCTGTTTTTTTGATGTTCTTTACAAAATATATTTAATTTCTAAATTAATAAATAAAATTTTACCACTTTTTTGTTTTTTTCTGATTCTTTTTCCACCATTACTTCCTGAAATAAATAAGGAAATGATTGTAAATTTATTAAAATTTAATCACATGCTTATAATATATCTGGTTCCTTTAGCTATTATAATAATTTATTAATATCAATTTTAGATTATGATAATTCCTTAATTTGTGTACTTTGAAATTAATTTATAGAATTTAAAAATTCTTACAAATCATTCACTTCTTGTTTATTAATATTTTCTTCAAATAAATCCTTCATATTTTTTAATTTCTTTATCCATTCTTCCACACATGTAGTAATTTTATTTATTTCATCATCATAGAACTATTTGAGTGCAGCAATATTTTTTATCAAATCTTCTAATTAGTCTATATTGATTTTATCTATTCTTATCTTGATTAAATAAGTTGAGTTTTCATGATCTAGACATTTTAAATTTATTTATCAATAATAACAACATTCCCTTTATACCCATTGGCTAAGCATCGTAAACATAATTTTTTTTCTTATTTATCTGACTCTGTTTTTTCAATGGCAAGGAATTCTTCATTATGATGTGGACAAAATGTATTTCTTTATTGAGACATTAAAAATAATATTAATTATTATCAAAAATTTTTCAGTTTAATAGAATTCAAAAATAATAATAGAAAATATATTTTTGTTAATTTCTAATAAAATTATAGTTTAAACTTTATTTAATATAATAACATTAAAGAATCCTTTTTTTCATCTGAAGATTATACTTCCTTTATCCAATAATATAAGTTCAACTTAAATGAAAATTTCTTGAATTGTACACAATTAAAGAGGATTTAAACATTTTTAGTCAAAAATTTTTTTGAATGAAAATCTCACTAGGATAATTAAACTCAAAAATAAAAATAACTAATATAAAAGTGGATTTTATTAAGAAAGCTTGATATATAATCAATATATTATAGGGAATAATATCAAAAAATTATATTTGAATTTATAAAATATTCTATTTTATTATTTACTTCATTTTTCAATAGTCAAATATTACATATCATCTTTTTTGTTTATTCTGGATTGTTCTTTTAACTAGCAAAGCATTAATTAAATTAAAACATAATCAATTTAAAGTATTTTTTTATTTGTTAGTAGACATCAATTGCTAGTGTTAAAATAAGAATCAATGTGAAACCTGCTACATTAATCCAGCCTAATAATTCAGTTTATTCTTTGTCTTCATTAGATTTGATAATTTCATATATAGAGAAGACTATAGTATTTAACATAATCAGAATTTCTGTTATGAATAACTTAGTATTTTCATATTTATTCTCAAAAGGTTTATAAATTTTAATATAGCAACAAAATACTCCTGATACCAAGGCTGTAATTAAACTCTAAGCAGCTACAAGGTCTTAAAATGCAACAATATTAATAATGAAAAGGGTTTTTTTCAATAATAAAATAGTAAAATATTATTTAGTTCCTTAGTTTATTTTATTTTCTATTCCTTCTATTAAAACTGATACAGTTTTATTTACTCTATCATTTTTCCTTAGATATGAAAAAACAAAATATATAAGGAAAAAATTACATATTAATGTAATTATTGCCAATAAAGAGATAATTGTATTAATAGTTGTATCTAAATTTAAGTTGACAATTTGTAAAATAGATGTAAAAGTCAATTCATAAAAGTTAGATGTATAAATTCTGATTAATCCAGAGTAAATAAAATATTCATATTATTTTCTTGCCAGTTTTTAGAGTTAAAAAATAAATTTGATTACCTTATAAAAAAATTCTGGATAATTATTGTAAAATATAGCTGGCCAATTCTAATATTTAATAATTATAAGAAATTTATAAAATAAATACGAGATTACAAAATAGACAAATCCCAATATCACTACAGAGAATAGTGTTAATAGGTTTTATAAAAAATAACAATTGATTTAATAATATTCGAATTTCCATTTGGCTGGTATAAGTGGAATTTAATAATCAAATAGATTTTGTAAAAATAAATCTGTTTACAATATATCAATTATGGGAGTAAATGATCCAATAGTAAATATTTCAAAATAAATTTATAAGTTTTCTGGAAATTGAAGATTGTGATATTTCATAAATGATAATTATTGTAGCATATCAAGCAGATTCCATAAAATTTCTAAATTGCCAAATAAAAAAGCAACACAACTTACAATCAAAATGATATACATAACAATTCTACCTAAAAGAGCAGTTTTTTATAAAAGTGATTTATGATTATTTGACATTTTATAAGGAGATTTTAATGTTAACCTTGCTACATTAGACTATAAAGTATTGTCCCATATATCTACAATATTATCACACTTGATTGTTACTTTTAAAACAGGATTCTCAATATTCTATTTAAAATTAACTAATAATTTATATGCTACATCAGTTAATTCAATAGTAATAGAATTAATGGGTTTAATTTCAACATCATATTCATTATCTTAAGCATTTTCAATAACAACTATAATCATCTATAGAAATTGTTCTTCACTAATGTCTGTTACATTCAAACGTACTTGTTAAGAAAATGATAATTTAAATTCTTGATTATCTGAGATTGTTTTGGAGAGTTTAGTAAGTAGAATCTTAGGTAGAATAACGTAATTACAAACACTAATATTATTCTCTTGTTGACATTTCCAATTCATTTCAACTTTACAAGTATAGCTACATCCATCATTATTTTAAACATTTCCATCATCACATTATTCTAATTGCTAAATTAAATATCCATCCCCACAAATATTATTACATTATGATCCATCTTCTAAGTATCCTTTTTGACATTCAATACATAATCCTTAGAAACAATTGAGACACATCTGATGACATGAATAAGAACATTAATAACATCCATCGAATTCAATATTATTTCCATCATCACATAATTCCTTTCCTACTGCATATCCATCTCCACATATTGAAGTACAAACACCATTATTCAATACCCAACCATTTTTTTAACAATTTTCACATATCATACCATTACAAAAATTACATCCTAATGGACAATGTATTTGACATTTATAACAACCATCATAAGGTAAATAATTTCCATCATCACATTGTTCTTCCTTGCTTGAGACAATACCATCTCCACAAAATTCAATGCATAAATTGGAAAAGCATTTATTTAAATACTCATCCCAAATGCATTCTAAATTTTCATTATCTGTAAAGCAAGCTTCTTTGATTATATAATCCTAACAACTTTATTTATAAGTGCATCCTCCTTCTTATTTAACTGTACAATATGACAAATATGAATTGCATTCCTAATATGTAATAAAAGTAATTGATGCAGTTTAGCAAGTTTTGGTATAACATTTATCATCAATCCAAACACAAGGATTATAATCGATATCAAATGTACAGCCATCAATAATATTAACATCTTCACAAGCATTTCTTAAAATACATTGATATCCATTAGTTACACATCTTTTATCTTCAAATATAGAAGCACAAGCTGAATCAATAGCATAATTATAATCAAAACATCCTTTTATTCGACAACCTCCTTTTTAACAAGTAGAAAGGAACCCTATACACTCTTCATGAGATTAGGCAAGTGCAGGTCCATTGGTACATATCTTTTCTAAACAAGTACTTTTCCCTTCATCCCAGAAGCAATAAATTCCACTTAAGTTTTTTTGTCCATCACTTTTGCATTATTCAAATGTATATTTCATACATAAGATTTAAGCAATCTCACATCTATCTAAATTTGTATTTACAGTACATGTATCACCAAAATACTATTAACAACTATGTGCTGAATATAAAATTAATTGAGCAGTGTTACATTCCTTGATTGTACAATTATTTTAATTTATTATCCATTCACATTCCACATTATCTTTACTAATCTTACATTATTCTTAATTTAAATAGTTATTGCAATCATCTAATTATTGGCATCCATCTAAGGTTAAATTTACTGTACATGATTTTAATCGTTAATTGCATTTTTAATGAGTTGTATAAAAAGCTTCTAAATTTTAACAAGTTAAATTAACACATTGTTATAATTATTCTTAATAATAGCATTCATTTCCAAATTTATCTTTAAAACATTAAATTTGTTTTGCTGAAAGACAAGAAAAAGGAAGGTCAACACATTGAATTAAATCAACTTTGACAGTGCAACTTTTATTTAAATAAAAAGACTCACATTATGAATGTTCCTTATATAAAACATTAGCTTAGGTGCAATCTTCAACACATGAATTATTCGGACTATTATATTAACAATTAACAAGCCAATCTTAACAGTCTGTTGGTATTAATGGGGCTGTAGGTTTATTTGAACATGTTTTTTCTAAGCATATAGTACCATCCCAAAAACAAGGTATTCCTAAGGAATTCTTTGTAGTCGAGCATAAAGTGCTAGAAGTGTAATCAATACAAGGACCAATAGTTTAACATGTCGATCCATTCCAAATACATTTATCTATAAAAATATTACACTCTAAATTAGTAGTTAAAGATAAGCAGTTGAGTAATTGGCACCCTGAACCTACTGCTGCCATACAATATGGACGCCTAAGGAAACATTGAGAATTATCATTCGTAATATTCGAAAGTTATGGATCTTAACAGATATTTTTACAAACAGTTAAATCCCAATAACAGTCTATGCCATCAATTCTTCTTACACAAGCATCTTAAGATGTGTATTCTGAACATAGTTATTTTTTGATTGTGCATTTTGAAGTTAATGAAAATTAAATTGTTTGTATGAAATTTATTTCGTTGCAATCTTAATGCGATTTAGGTTAGATAATGCTACCTAAATTACAGTTTTTATTATTAGAGCATTTGGTTGTATTATTTGAACACCAATAACATTTTCCTACTATATGCGTATAATAACCATAACTACTCTCACAATCAGATTATATTATATATTCATAACAAAATTTTCTAATGCATTAGGATGTATACCATTTACAATTAGACCCATTAATGATGTTTGTTTAATTACATATAGTTGAATCTGTAATATAACTGCAATCCATAAAGGAACAACCTTAACCTTTTGCGTAATTTAATCTGCAATATGTAGAATTTATTAATAAACATTCACGATTCGTTATAGCAGTTGTGTTAAGTTGACAATCAATATTTTTCACGCATTTACCCATTTACCAAGTGCACTAAAATATTTAACATTAGTATATTAATTTTATTTCAGTACAATTACCTGTGAAAGTCTTACATCCAGTAGTACCACGAACACAATCATAAATCCAATCATAACAATNTTACAATCTGTATGATTATAATAAAACGGAGCATGATAACATTATCTGTATTCACATTTATTGTAATACCATACACAATCTTATTATTGATTAGAATAACAATCCATTTCCCTGATATAACCATCACATGTTTCAGGTCTTTTTTTACATCCCCCATTTTCTGAAGTAACACAATCTAATAAATTATCATAATCCTAACATTATTAATAATTTGTTAAGGAATTTGAAGCAGTGCTGCAACTTTTGATTTTACATTCATTTTAATAATATTCACATTTCTTACCCTAAATGTCTGTAAAACAACCAAATTTATTTTAAGCATCACTACATTCCTTCCTTTTTATACAATGAATTCCATTTGATGTACAATCACTTAAATGCGACTGACATTCATAATCTTATGAAAATGGTAGATTCTCACAAACCTTCTCTACACATTTACCTTTTTTTTAGTTCCAAAAACACTTTTTGTTTTATCTATTTTCAAAACATTAAAAATCATTAATATATTATGAACATTACTCCATTTACTCAATACATCCATAACCTTTCTCACTTACTGTGCAAAAATCGAAACCTTCTTTACACATAATATGACTCATTAAATATATTGGTAATTCTTAACATATTTTAACATCTCTACATTATTTTTCTTTGTCTTATACCCAAAAGCAATAGTTACCGTGTTAATTTTTATTTGAACAACCATTTTCTGTTTTATAATCATTACATTCTAACATTTTAACACATTTTGTGCCATCAGAGACACATTTATATGAAGATTCTTAACAATAATCTTTATTAAAAATTCGACAATCATCAAAGCTAATACATTAACCCAAATAAAAGCCACATTATTCTTATTCTCTACAATCCTCTTTTGCAAATTATTTGCAGTGGTGCTAATTTTAGATTTCCATTTTGTAATATTGGCCTGAGTTTAATTTACATCTATTCATTTCCCAAATGCAAATACCAGAACTTTTGCATTCCTTTTAACTTCTAACATGCCCACAAACGCAATTTTTAGATATTTCTAAACTACCTATGCTTAGAAATTGAAGTAACAAAATAGAACAAAACTACTGTAATTTCATTTAATTATTGTGATTAATTTATTAACATTAGATAATAAAAATTTAATAGTATTTGAACATCTAAATTCTTTAATTTTTGATTATTTAAATAAATACATAGCATTAAATTTTATCATTTGAATCTCTATAGTAATATTTTTTCTGCCTTTATTTTGTCCAAAATTATAATCATTTATGTTTAGCATTTTTTATATTCTCTTCATAACGGTATCCCTATAAAAACCTAAGTATATATATTATTATTAGCGTCTAAAATAAAAATAACAAATTTCTAGTTAAATTTATCCTATTGTAAAAAAATTTAATAATTTAGTTCAAGAAAATCTTCTATTTTCCAGAGAACTGTACTTCAAAAAAATTATTCCTAGAAGACTATATATACTTAGGAGTATCACTAAATAAATTAAATATTTTATGGTTCAATTAATAAAGAAAAAAAGAATTATTTAATAAAAAAAAGCAAAACAAATTTTTGCATACTATCAATCTTACAATTATTTTGATTTAGTTTCCAAGTAGTTTTAATATTTCAGTTTATCTTTTAGATAAATCTCTTTCTTATATAAGCTCATTATATCGATAAAAAAATAATTAATACTTAAAAATTTAATTAAGTTCTTAAATTAAGCATACTGAAAGATAATAAGAAAGAGAAAAAGGCTTCCAATTTAATCTTGATTTTTTTTAAATCATAAAAATATTTATAAATTTTTGTTATTTGTTCTTTTAAATTGTTATCTAATGAATTCAATATATTTTCAAAATATAATAAATCTATAGTTTATTTGTTTTTTTGAAATAGTTTATTTAATCCAATCATAGTTTTTCAAATGACCGAATATTTAAAATATTTTTAAAAATGTCATAAAATATATTTAAAATTTTGCACTTCTTAAAAAAAAAAAGTATAACGTATAATTTTAGCAATTTCTTTTGATAATATTATATTATAACTGAAATGCTTTTAGCATTGGCAATTTGGAATTTCTATTTCTTTTATAAGAATAGAAATTTAAGGATGATTATAGTATATTTAAAAAAATGCCATTTTCCTTAAATCTAATGGCTGGATTCCTAAATTATGAAGAATAATTTGTACTTGTACAATTATTTGAAGAAGGAAACCTTATATTGATTAAAAATGAAAAAAATGAATAAAAATCAAATAAAATAATAGGATAAGTCAACAAAATTAATTACAAATTAAAATAATTTTAAGTATTTCTCTTATTTTCCAAGAATATATTATTTCTAATTCTTAAGATTTATTCTTTGTCTCTAAATAAACTATTTATTCAAATAAGTATATGTACTTATATAAAAACAATCTTAATGCGATTTAGGTTAGATAATGCTACCTAAATTACAGTTTTTATTATTAGAGCATTTGGTTGTATTATTTGAACACCAATAACATTTTCCTACTATATGCGTATAATAACCATAACTACTCTCACAATCAGATTATATTATATATTCATAACAAAATTTTCTAATGCATTAGGATGTATACCATTTACAATTAGACCCATTAATGATGTTTGTTTAATTACATATAGTTGAATCTGTAATATAACTGCAATCCATAAAGGAACAACCTTAACCTTTTGCGTAATTTAATCTGCAATATGTAGAATTTATTAATAAACATTCACGATTCGTTATAGCAGTTGTGTTAAGTTGACAATCAATATTTTTCACGCATTTACCCATTTACCAAGTGCACTAAAATATTTAACATTAGTATATTAATTTTATTTCAGTACAATTACCTGTGAAAGTCTTACATCCAGTAGTACCACGAACACAATCATAAATCCAATCATAACAATCTTTATCTGAAGTTACACTAGTTAAATGTTCACATTTTCTATTCTCACAAGTTGAGTTTGTGGAATTATATCCACATTTTTGTAAATAAGAGCTTAACTGAGCTACTGATGAATTACAACGCTGGACTGAACCTTACACACTATTACAAGAAGTTAATAAGACACAGCAATCACAACTTGTATTATAAATATAAGTTGATGAATAGTCTTAACATTTCTATCTTTTATCTGAAAGGTTCATGTTAGAAAAATTAAAATTCTTTTGTGTTGTTTATCCAATACATTAAAATTGACA